TCCGGCCTAGACCGCCTTGATATTGCGCTGATCCTCCATCCTCCATCCCCCATCGCAGATATTGAATCAGGGGCCTTTGGCCGTAGACCCGGATCTCGAGTGGTTGGTGAAGCGAGTCTCGGTCGCCCAGGTTGAGCCGCTCATGGTGACGAGGTCCTTCCGTGGCTTATTATAGTATACTCTCCTGGACGAGCTCGCCGTGTCTACCAGGTGTCTTCGTGACCTGCTGCTGTGGATGCTGGGATGCTGTCGCCGCGTCGAGGGCCTCACACTCCGAACCAGCATTCGCAGCATTGGAACGGAGGCGGCCATGATGGTCACTGCTGCCTCGGCATTGCCCCAAATGACCAAAGTGACACCGTCATCTACGACCGTCAGTGAGGCGACGGCATGACTCGGACCGAGATACTTACGGGGAAAGTTGCGTCCTCCAAGCTCGGGAAGGGACGAACACTTGATAAACGCAGCGGCAGCAGCACTAGACATGTCAGCAACAGCCACACATCATGATGGATCCGACTCACAAAACACCCATGCTCATAGCCGCAGCGACGCCAACCTTCTCCTTGGTGTCCATGTGCAGCCTCATGATGATCTGCCACGGGATAATGGCAAATACCAAGTCCAAGATGCCCGAATACGCACTGACAAAAATGCCATACGTGACAATGACATTGGGACTCCAACAGGTTCCCCGCATAAACGGATGCCACGCTTTCTCCAGAGGCGTGCATCCAACCCAAAAGAACATGGCCGCCATCCCAAACAACAAGTTCATGGAAACCACAGCAAACCAGATGAAGATGCGCGTCTTGCCATGAATCCCATCCGATATCAGAAGCAGCGAAATGGCGAAGGACGTCTTGCTCCACGCCTGGCTGCATATCGCCAGCGTGACGGATATCTGGCCGATCAAGAACATGTCGTTTGCACTTTGAAACGGAATCTGCCAGACATGTCTGCCAAACCCCAGGTTGACGGCGAGATGGGTGGTGATTGTGCTGCCCAGAAGTGCGATCTGGTCCTGTTAGCCCACCGCACACCCACAAAAGACTGAAGAACGGTAGACATACCCACGCCGCAATGGCAAACCAGTCATCTGCGTAGAATTTCCGATGCCTCACGATCTTGCAGTATAGCCTCAGGACCAAAAACAGCAACGACACACCCGCCAATATCCAAACAGACACCCGTGTCGTCGGCCCTAGGTCGTCATTTTGGAACCGCTGTCGCCAGTTGGTCGAGAACCCCGGGATTCCCGTAAAGTTTCGAACATCGTTTGGGTCGTTATCGTCGTCAAAGTACGTCGTGTTGGGCATGGATACGTTCATCGTTGAGGATATCGCGCACTCGTTCCAGCGTGCGGCACGGGAGGATTGTAGATAATATCGGGTCGAATCAAAACATTATGGGGCGAGGAAAAATATGGGGAGATGGGAAAGAAAACGCGGGATGAGATGGGAGGAAGAACGGGACGAGCGAGAGAGAAGAAAAAAACGGGAACGGAACGGGGTGATGTGAATCCATGACTTTTCACACTTGGATGTGCAGGGCGATCAATGGTATCAGCTCTGAGAGATGCACGCTATGCGCAATGCTGGAGTTGGGGAAGTTGAACCTTTTTGGTCGGGAGCTGTTGTCGATCGCACATGGTTCTGAAACGGTGGCATGCAGGGCGCACGCAGTCCGAAAAGGGTTGCGGGAAATGCCTTGCAGACCCCAAGAAACATGGAAAATTCCGTTTGGGGAATGGCTTGGGGGCGGCGGGACGACCGGGAATCTGGGATGCTGCTGCCCTTTGTTTGCCCTTGGTTGGGAGGTTTGCGCGGACCAATGTGAGGGACCAAGGTCAGGATTCGACTCACCGGTGGGATGAAGCGCCCGGTGTGACGAAACGTTGGGGGTTGAAACGGACAAGACAGCGACCAAGAGAATTACCATGAATACCATGAATACCATGAATGTAAACAGCAGGCTTCTAGGTTCTAGAATATGTCCCGGGAAAATACGCACGGATGCTGGGCTGTGGTATTTCCCCGACTTCGAAGCTTCTTCTCCGGATTCCGGCTCGGCAAGTCTTTTCGTGGGTGTCGATCACGCAAAGCCCATGTCCGTGCCCGGTGACTTCACCGATCCGGACATTTGCACCATATCCGGACACTTCAATACTTCAGCGAGAATTCATCGAGCACCTGTGCCAACTTCGTCTCACAAGCGTCGACCCAAGAGACATCAATTCTCCACTGGGTTAGTATCAATGTAAGACGGCCTCTGCCCAGAAAACGGGTAACCGTAAACTCGACCGCGATGACAAAGCTTTGCGGGGTGGTCTTACTCAGCGCTCTTACTCGCCGAGACTGGCCTGGTAGACGACACAGCTGCCGGCATGGACCTTCATTCGACCACTCACAAACTGCATCTCGACCGGGTCACTTCGCGGTGGTCAGCCCGGCATTGATCTAGTAGTTCCGTCATGACGTTAGATTTTAGATATCGGAAGCCTTTTGTCAACATGCTACGGCTCGACTATTTGAGCAAGTCCGCAGTTCCGGGACACTTGTGTTCTGAGTTAGGGAAGACCCAGGGACACCGTATCTTGGACCAAGCGTCAGCAACTTTCTCACGGTTACCAATAACATGACGACGTCGTATTGTCCATCTTGGCGTCGCTTCTGTCACCAAACAGAGGTGTGTCGTGAGCGGCAGAGATGCACACTCGACAGAGGCGGCGGACTCACATTCGAACCGGCTGCATGCAAGTGATCAGGGCAACCCGGATGGGGACAAATGGCTGCATCCGCAATCGGGACATGACATGACAGCGGGAGACTACACTGGAGAACCAAAGTATTTGAGGGTCGGACAGCGGCATCTCCTGGATCTTGGGAGTTACACATCGTCCCATCCTTGCAATTGCACGCCAGAAGTTCAGTTCAGATGGCAACCTCTGAGAAGGCCAACAGCCAGGAGCAAGTCGACGTCACTGAGACGACTGAGACAAACTCAGTCGATGTCGACGATGCCTGGAAGTTCCTCGACACCCACCGCGATGCCAACCTCAAAGAACACGGAGACATCGACATACTGGCTCTCCGTCGCAAGAATGACTACCGAATCGTACCTTTGATGTTTCTCTGCTACACGATGCAGTTCATCGACAAGCTCACTCTCAACGTCAGTCGCGCCAATTCAACCCCAAGACAAGACACTGACCTTCCAGTACGCCGGCGTCATGACCATGCGCCAAGAACTCAACCTCCAGGGCAACGACTTTTCCAACCTCGTCACCTTTACCTTTGTCGCCCAAGCAGCCTGGGAGTTACCAACCAGCGCGTATCATCCTATCTTCGGTTCACGTGCTGCTCACTAACGAAACGCAGTCTACTGCCTCCAACGCTTCCCCGCCGCCAAATTCCTCGCCGTCAACGTCCTCCTCTGGGGCGTCGCCACAGCATGCGGCGCAGCAGCAACAAACTACCAAACCCTCCTCGTCAGCCGCATCTTCCTCGGCATCTTTGAAGCAACCGTCAACCCATCCCTCATCCTCATCAGCAGCCAATGGTACACCAAACCCGAGCAAGCACCTCGTTTCTCCCTCTGGCTCCTAGGTCTCGGCATCGGCCAGATTGTAGGCGGCGCCGTCTCCTATGGCTTCCAACACATCCCCCCCGCCGCCACACTCTCCGGCTGGCGAACCATGTTCCTCGTTCTCGGTCTGGTCACCGTCGTCATCGGAATTGTCACCTTTTTCTCCCTTCCCGACACGCCCATGCAAGCGAGATGGTTGACGGACAGGGAAAAGGTCGCGTTGCTGAAACACGTCAGTGTCAACCAGACTGGGATTGAGAATCGCAAGTTTCGAGGGAGCGAGATCAAGGAAGCGCTGCTCGACCCGCAGGTCTGGTTGCTGTGGATTACGATCGTGTTGCTGGCTGGCACGGGCGGCATCGTGATTGCGTATTCATCGACGTTGATACGGAATTTGGGCTATGATTCGAAACGGGCGGCATTGATGAACATGCCGTCGGGGGCGATCAGTATTGTTTGGACGTTGGCCGTTGGTTGGGGCATCAGAACGCGGTCGCATCGCTGGGGGTGGGCTTTGTTTAGTATTCTCCCTGCGTGAGTTTCACCCTGTGCGTCCATGGTGGGAGAGTGGCTAATACGGGACAGCATGGTTGGCTCGGGACTCATGTCCTTCTTGCCGACGTCGAACAAGGCCGGCATTTTGGCGGGGGTGTACCTCACCAATACCATCACAGCTTGTCTTTCCATCTTTTACAACGTAAGTGCTTCATGTTAACCGCCCGCGCGTGGCATCGTGTTACTGACCAACTCAGTGGACGGCGGCGAATGTTGCTGGCGCAACAAAGCGCGCCTTTGTGACGGCCATGTTGAGTGGGTTATTCTCAGCCGGTAATGTCATTGGTCCGCAAAGTTTCCAGGCCAAGGACGCCCCGGAGTATCGGCCAGCAAAGATTACGGCGTTGGCGACACAGGCTGCTGCAGCTTGCACGACCGTCTTGCTTTTCGGATATTACGCTTGGAAGAATAAGGGCAGGAAGGGCAGGGAGAAGGAGGTAGAAGGAAGGTTTATGGATAAGGAGGTTTGGCTGAGGATGACGGATGGTGAAAACAAGGAGTTCAGATACTCTTATTGAGTTAAATAGTAAGTAGTATGACTATTTAAAGTTGGCCATAGGAACAAAAATCCGGTTTTCATGGACCTAACTTGTCAGTCATTTGCCTTGAGATGATTTGACGCGACACCTCAAAATCCGGATTGCGACCGTCAACGCAGTGCACCTCTCTCTCTCTATCGACTCTGCTGAATCGACTGTCAGTCCAAAAAAGTCTATTGTCGTCAAACACTTTGTGGAACCCAGCCATGGCGCTCCTAGCTAGTTTCCCATTTCAATATAAAAAACCGGCGTTCATGAGCGACAAAGTCGATATAAATAGCACACGGGTAAGTCATTCATCATTGAAAGTAAAAAGAATGGGCGCCCCAGGAATCGAACCTGGGTTTCTTCGGGGAAGACCTCAGAGAGAACCACAACGAAGTGTACTGACCACTATACTAGGCGCCCTAAAAGTGGTAATGAACGATCCACCCAGGGGTCGAACCTGGAACCTCCTGATTCGTAGTCAGACGCTCTGCCATTGAGCCAGCGGACCCGTTTGATGACTAACCATCCCGCAGAGATCCACATGTGCCCAGGGTCTCAGCACAACCAAGCGAGAAGAGATGCGTGTGGATATTGCGCGTTCAATGATTGCTCAGTGCTGTCCCGATTAGTTTGAGGGCAACGACAGTTACCTAACCCTTTCGAACCAGCGCCTTAGCTGGGAGAACGTCTCCACCAGATTCTGCGATTGGATTCACAAAACAACAACTCATCACCTTGGTCCAAGTAGATGAGAAGACTCCACCAGCACTCCAAGTGGGCACTGTCACAATACTAGTCGTCTGTTTCGGAGGAGAGTGTTGCTGCACATGTTGCTGCAAAGCCACCGTAGTGCAAGCTTAGAGCGGTCGTGCTGTTTCTAAACTGGATATGCTAGGCAGAGGAGATCCCAATGGCAGTCTCACTGTGACACAAGATTGTCAAAGAAGACCGATCTGGGGTTTCATCTCAGTCAAATATGCTACTAAACACGAGGTTGCTGTGATGAACAAACCACCCGAGGCCTTAAGCCGACTTGCCACCTTGATGAGATGGGAGATGACGTCGTGGTCAAAATTTTGTTCCATTCCGGCGGCATTGCGACATCGCTTCTCCCGAACGCAGGACCCCGAGCCAGGCTTACCTGCTTACCCAAGTGATTCCCCACCGATACATGCAGCCTCAGCAATTTCCCTCCGCACATCATCTGGTAAAGGGCAATCGCTCCATGCCTTTCGAAACCCGCCCGAAAGCGCTGGTAAAGAGTTGATCACCTGGAGAATGTGGCAACAATTTTCAGCAATGGCTGACCATTCGAACACTGGTAAAATATATTCTCCTGACCCAACAGAGGATGTTGATGAGATTCACACGCAAACCGGCCACTGGCTGTACTTTGGGGCAAGTCTTGGGAGATGACAGACAGCGAGTCTTGTGCTGGGTATTTCAATCATTCATTTCTCTTATTAGCTTCCCATGCACGAACCTGACTCCTCAACATATCGTATGACTGACCCACAACCAAAACCTACGTGCTCAGCGGGACGAAGCTACTGGAGATCGTGCATGGAAGAGGGTACAATGAATTGTTTGCTGGCGTTAGCGAAATGGCTGCTGTGCACTAGGCCGAAGGTGGCACGGCCGTGTCAACGAAGTAGACACAGGGAGCGATCCTGTTTCAGAAAAGGCGAGGGCATCGCCAACTGAGTCGTCTTGAACGACTGCAAGGATTGAATTCGACTCAGTCAGAAATAACGCTGTTGACGAGGTGATGCCAACCCTGGCCAATGTCCCACATGGCGCCCCCACCCCCAGATTTCGGGTTGGCACCAGCTCGCTTCCCCAGATCTTGGCCCAGAAGGAATACCTCGGCATTCCACCACTTCCCCTCATTCCCCAGACGCCAACACCACCACCGCCAACCCCAAAGAGGAAAAGACCTCGTCTCAGCTTGCTCAGCATGAACAAAGCACCGATGAGCTCCCAGAATCCAAATAATAAACACCTCCATCCTTCACCGTGACCAAACATCCTGCCCGAATGTCTCCCAACACTCTTGCATCATCCCCAAAATGCCACTCCCCCTGGCCCTCACCGTCGCCGGCCTAACCGCCGGCGCATCCTACCTCAACGCCCGTCTCTCCCTCGAACACGACGCCCTCTTCTTCTCCATCTTCGGCACCACAGCCTTCAACATCATCCGCGCTGTGCGCTCCGGGCGCGTCAACCTCTTCTACCTCCTCGAATCGCACGCGCTCAACCCATCCAGCGCGGACCGCCCCTTTCTCAAATTCGAGGGCAAAACGCACACCTACGCCCAAGCCTACGACACGGTCCTCCGCTACGGCCACTGGCTGACGACCAAACACGACGTGCGCAAGGGTGATATCGTGGCGCTCGACTTCCAAAACAGCGATACCTTTGTGCTGCTGTGGTTTGCGCTGTGGAGTATCGGCGCGACGCCTGCGTTTATCAATCATCATTTGACGGGGAAGCCGTTGGCGCATTCCTTGAAAACAAGCACGGCGACATTGGCGCTGGTTGATCCGCGGGTTGTGGGGGCTTTGGATGATGAGTTGAGGGCTGAGTTCCCGAGTATGCGGTTTGTGGTTGTTGATGGGGCGGTTGAGGACGCGGCGAGGGGGTACGAGGCGAGGCGTTACCCCGATGAGGTGAGGACAGTGGAGAAGTATGTTGGTTTGGCGATTTTGATTTACACGAGTGGCACGACGGGTTTGCCCAAGCCGGCGGTGATGTCGTGGGCCAAGATTTATGTGGCGAGTATGATGGCTGCCAAGGGGATGCAGTTGAGGACTGACGATGTGTTTTACTTGGTACGTTACCCAGAACTCTTTGTTGTTTGGATCAAGACTGACATGGAGGGACAGTCCATGCCGCTGTATCACAGCTCGGCTTCATGCATCGGGCTTTGTGGGACTTTGTTCGCCGGCGCTGCGGCTTCCATCGGTCGACGGTTCTCGACCAAGACGTTTTGGAAGGAGATTCGAGAGAGCGAGGCCACCGCTTTCATGTACGTCGGCGAGACGTGTCGGTATCTGACCGTTGCCCCGTCCGAGATCGACCCCGCGACGAGCGAGAATCTCGACAAGCAGCACAAGGTCCGCGTGGTCATGGGTAATGGTCTTCGCGCTGATGTCTGGGACAAGTTCAAGGAGCGGTTCGGCATCGATACCATCTTCGAGTTCTACGCTGCCACTGAGGGCGCTATTGGCGCTTGGAACCGCAGCCGCAACGAGTTCAGCAAGGGTGCTATTGGTCGCTATGGTTTCTTTTCCCGCGCCTTTCTCAACTTCCGCAGCACTATCGTCAGGATGGACCACGAGACCGACCAGCCTTGGAGAGATCCAAAGACGGGCTTCTGCAGACGGGCTGACAACGGCGAGACAGGCGAGCTCATTGCTCGACTCCCTCCCGACGACATCGAGTCGAGGTTCCAGGGCTACTATGGCAACGCATCGGCCACCAACTCCAAGATCATGCGCGACGTCTTCACCAAGGGCGATGCCTGGTTCCGCTCGGGCGACGTGATGCGCTGGGAGGGCAGTCTCGACGGCCGTCTCTTCTTCAGCGACCGCATCGGAGACACATACCGGTGGAAGAGCGAGAATGTGTCCACGGCCGAGGTGGCCCTAGTGCTCGGCACCCATCCCTCGGTGCAGGAGGCCAATGTTTATGGCGTGCAGCTGCCCAACCACGACGGACGGGCCGGATGTGTTGCCATTGCCTTTGACCAGCCGACCGTCACCCCTGATCTCCTAAGCAGCTTGGCCAAGCACTCCCTTGCCAGCCTCCCGAAATATGCGGTGCCGCTGTTTCTGAGAGTCGTCCGGGATGTGGCATTGCAGACGACTGGAACGAACAAGCAGCAGAAACACATCCTCAGGGAAGAGGGTGTTGACCCCGCCAAAGCCAACGGGGATGCCCTGTTCTGGCTGAATAACGGAACCTATGTACCTTTTGGCGTTCGGGAGTGGAAGGAGTTGCAGGGAGGGGCCGTGAAGCTGTAATATCCGTTGTTTTGTGTTTTGTAGATGGTATTTGTACTGATATTGGAATCGAGTTCCCTGAATCGGCTCCGTCAGATCCCTCGGTGACATGTTTGTCCTGGTCGTTAGCCTGCCATCCATGATCATCTCAAGCTTTCAGGTCATAGCGGTCAAAAATCGACAGCCTTGGAGATGGAACATTTGTGTTCTCTCTGAATTTGCCGAACAGCTCGATAGGTATCATATTTGGGGGAATCCTTGACTATTCGCTCACAGCATCAGCAGGACCCTTCGCGGCGAGCTTCTTCTCCTCTTCCTGTTTCTCCCGGTCTTCCAACGCACCAGGTTCCGTGATATCAACCCCCAGTCTCATTGCCTCGGCTACCTCCGCCGCTGGACCGGTGAACCAACGATTTGCCCACAGAACCCAAGACCCAACCGCCCCAATGCTGAGAATGCCAACAGCCACTGGGGTGTAGTTAAGCGTCTCCCTCGTTACCGGATTGGCGGTAGGGAGGCAGAACACAATTGTGATGAATGTAATCCAGAGACTGGCGGCGATCGCAATCGGTCGAGACAAGGCTCCCAAGTTAAAAGGGCCCTTCATCGCGTTGAAGGACTGGTGACAAAAGACGCCGATGAGGATGGGCAGACCGTAACTGATATACAACCCAATGGTTGCGATCGAAGTGGCTGCTGCAAAAGCAACGCTGGATCCCAAAGAGGGCAGAGCTAGGATGAAAGATAGAGTTGCGGCCAACCAAACGGCTCGGATGGGGGATCGGAAACGTTCATCGACCTTGTGGAAGAAAGGATGCTGTCACGGATCATGGTCAGCGAAGCGGCGCTCAGACAAGCCTGAATCAACACTTACGATGCCGCCGTCACGAGCGAAGGCAAACATCATGCGGCTGTTGCTCGTCATGGAGAAGAGTCCACAGTGCCAGACGCACACTAGTCTTGTCAGCATCTCGGTTCAGTTTGACCCGAACTGGGCAACTCACCCATGATCAAGGTAAACAGAACCAGGGCCCCGTTTTCACCTGCAACATCGACAAGGATCTGGAGAACCGGCTGGCCATATACACTGTCAAGCGTCCTCTCAAAGTCTTGAATCGAGAAGAGAAAGGCCATGAGCACGAAAAAGCCAAAGAGGGCAGAAAACCCGACCGAGGACACCACTCCAATCGGCGCGCTCCAACTGGCCTTTTTTGTCTCCTCACTCAAGTGTGCGGAGGCATCGAACCCTATTTCATTGCCTATTAGTGTGTTTCTTCTGATGTGATAGAATGTTGGGACAAACCTGTGAGTGTGTATTGACTCAAGAGTGCACCACACAGTGCAACGTATGCTGGGCTGGCCCGAATACTCCAACCATCAGCTCCGTCAACACCAGTGCCATCGTTAAAGTGACCA